TATTTCCAGCCCTGAGGCCTCGCCATAGAGTGGTGGGCTCTGTCTGGACCAAACAGTGCCCTCAGAGCCAACTGGACATCTACCCCCAGACTGTCCAGTCTAAGTAATGACTCCTGACTCTGACCCCAAGGTTGGGGACACTGGAGCCAGGTTCACCCCTGGTCACGGGGTCTTGGTGGCAGGGATATGAGACATGGCACCAGCTCTGTGGAGCCCTGGGCAGACAAGGCACAGTGAATGTCACTGGACAAAGATGCAGGAACCCAGGGGGTGAGCTGAGTACTCCTGGGGCCTAAAGTCAAGTGCCATCTGGGATGAGGACCAGGGGAAGGGGCTGGAGCTGGGAGTGCTCATCCTGTCACCATGAGGCTGGCTGTGTGACCTGGGGAGTCCCTCCCTGGGCTTCAGTTTTCTTATCTGTAAAGTGACAGAATTGGAGCAGATCCCTATGGTCCTGCCATCCCTAGCAATAGCTCATGGGCAACAGACTTAGCTGCTCACCCTGCTGCCTGCTGGGGAATTACCTTGGCAAGGTGTGTCACTGGCCCTTCAGCAGGGTGGCATGGGATGGGGGTGGCTTATGAGGGTTAATTTCCTTGTCTTAGCCTTGAGGGAGGAGGCTGTGGCCATGCTGTGTGCAGGGGCTTTGGCCTCAGGAGGGGAAACCAGGCTTCCGTGGTGCTCTGTCCATCCTCTCTTTTGACGTTGCCTGCCATCCTCCTGCCCCCATGTCCTCACCTCAAAGTCCCTGCCCCCTTTTCTCTCCCCACCTCATTTTCCTTCCCCCTCTCCCCCAAATCCAGCTCCTACAGTCCCTCAGGCATAGTGTGGTGCATAGGATTGGAGCCAGAGTTCCCGGGTTCAGATCCAGCTCGGCATGGTTCTGGAGCGTCAATGAGTTTTTTGTGCCTCAGTCTCTTCATCTCTGTAATGGAGATAATTCCTCACCTCATAGCATTATTGTGAGAGTTCAATGAGTTAATATCCACAAAGAGCCTGGAACAATGCTAGGTGCTCAGGAGGAGGTGCTCAGGAGAAGTGAGCAGTTCTTTTTCACCATTGCTACCCAGAGCCCAGGCCAGGAAGCACCCCCTCCTCCGGAAAGCCACTGGGCCTGCTCTGGCCCACGGACCGGTCACCCACCTCAGTACAGTAATAATGTGGCGTAGTCACCTACCCTGTGCCAGATGTTTTTGTACCTCATTCATGTAGGGCTCACAGCACCTCTGTGGAGCAGGATTGAGATACCTTTTAGTGAGGACACCTAGGCCTCAGGCAGCCCAGGAGCTTGCATGGGGCAGAGCAGAGGGGCTGGGTGTGTCCAGAGCCCGGAGGAACCACTGTGGTTTGCAGTGAGAAGGGGTGGGTTCCCCATTTTGTAAAGCTTACTTACTCTGGCTAATGGGGGGTCACTGACTGGAGGGAGAGTGGGGACAATGGTGACTTCTGGTGTCTGGGGCAACTAGAGGCCATTGAGGGTATCAGGGCCCTGAAACCTGAGGGACTGCAGTCTGTCTCTCAGCTCCTCTAGGCCTCAGTCTCCCCACCTGTGTCTGGTGGTGGGGTGGTGCCCTCTGGCTGGAGCAGCTGCCATGGTGAGCTGTTGTGGGGGCACCACTGTCCTCATGACAAACAGAGCTCTTGTCCTGGTGATTTCCCAGCCTGCGCAGGGCCAGCTGCTTCCATGATGATCCCAGGCCAGGCTGGGAGGGGCAAGCACCACAGCCACAGGGTGATGGTGACAAGGGGACCTGCCCTGGCTGTCCTGGGGCCTCAGGCCACAGGGTCTAGGGGTATAGTGGTGAGAGCAGCGGACCCTCCCCTTCACCCTTTGGGGACCCCCACGGCGCCTCCTCTAGACCACCTCCTGGGGGAACAGAGCAAGCAGTGGGCTAGGAGCCAGGAGAGCTGGGCTGCTCCCAGCTATGCCACCTCTCTGCTTTCCACTGTACCAATCTGCGAGGATGATGGGCGTCGCGGCACCCATTCTGGGTGTTTGGTTGCAGACCGAGAGCGCATTGGGCAGGACTCGGCGTACGAGCAGGAGGGGAAGGTGCAGTTTGTGATCGACGCTGTGTACGCCATGGGCCACGCGCTGCACGCCATGCACCGGGACCTGTGTCCGGGCCGAGTGGGGCTCTGCCCACGCATGGATCCCGTAGACGGCTCCCAGCTGCTCAAGTACATCCGCAGTGTCAACTTCTCAGGTGGGAGCATGGCGCATGGCATCCCCACCCCAGGGGTCCTGGGCCATGCAGCCAGGGAAAGGGGTCCTGGGCTCCATGGGGGGAGGTATTGGAGGGTCTCGTCAGATGTTTCCAAGGGGTGAAGCCTCCCCAGATGCTCCATGCAAGGTCCTCCCCAGAAGTTTTTCTGCCTAGCCTTTGAGTAAAGGCTCAGCAAAGAAACTGAGTGTGTGACACCCACTTCCCCCACAGGCATTGCAGGGAACCCTGTGACCTTCAACGAGAATGGGGATGCGCCTGGGCGCTATGACATCTACCAGTACCAATTGCGCAACGGCTCTGCTGAGTACAAAGTCATTGGCTCCTGGACTGACCACCTGCACCTTAGAGTAAGCGCCTGGCAAGAGGGCAGGGAGGGGCTCTGGGGGCGGAGGGAGTCACTCACCGCATCCCAACCCTGGGAGGACACTGAGGGGAGGCAGCCCCTGAGTAGCACTGATCTCTGGGATTGCTGCTGTCAAGTCGGGGTTTCATTCCGTGCCCCTCCCAGACGTCAGAGGGCCCTGAGGCTCCCACCCAGAGACGGAAGGACAGGGCTGCTGGACTCCTGCTGTGTCTGCCCCTGCCCTTTCCCCTGGCCTGGGCCTTTCTGCCTGCCGCCCATTCGCAGGGCCAAAAGCTGTGGACAGACGCTCACAGTGAGTGAAATGGCTGGTGTGGGCCCAGGGTAAGGAGGGGAGGGCTGCGTTTGGACAGAGGACCGTGTTTAAGGCAAAAGGCACAGTCAGACGGCAGGTGGGGAGCTGTTTGAGAGTTGGTCCTCCAGCCCTGTCTAACCCACAGGAAGGCTGTCTTTTCCTGGGTATTATGGGGGTTGGGGAGAACTTCTCATGGGTCCTCCTAGCCACACTTTCCCAGCTCACAGTTGTTCCAGGGACATGGTGGCCTTCCCTCTCTGGCCCTCAGTGTCCCCTGCCATGAAGTAGAACAGTGTTTTTAGAGAGAAAGGACCTGTATTCATTCTCCAAGGAAATGCTTGTGGACTTGGTTCGCACCTTGCAAAGTGAAGGGGTGAGTGGTGCTCGGGTGGGCACAATGTGACATCTAGATGGACTAGAGAGGCTCCAAAGGCCCAGGTCCACGTCTGGCCCCTGCCATGCTTGCTCTGCATCCTGGAAGAGCCGCATCCTTTCCCACTGTCCCTCTGGCAATTATCTTTTCTGATGACAAGCCCCTGGAGCTCTTCAGAGCAGTTTCTGCCCATGATCTCACTTAGCCTGCCCATCTTCTAAGTCAGAGGAGAGATCTCAGGAAACCTAGCCCAAGGGGCGTTCCAAGGGCCGCACAGCATAGTGGGCCAGAGCTCATTGCTATGGTGATGCTCCTTGGGTTACTGAGCAGAAACAGGCAGACAGACAGAACAGGGAGGTGGGAGAACTTGGCAATGTGGGACAATGCCCTACACGGAGCCATGCCTCATTTTGGTGTGGCAGTGGGGGCTGTGACTCAGTTCCTCGTAGCAGCAGCTAATCCTTGCTGAGCGCCTGCTGTGCACAGCTCCTGTTCTAAGCACATGGTCTCACTGTGCGGACAACAGCCCATGAGGCAGGCAGGCAGGCAGGCATGATATTACCCCATGCTACAGGCAGGGTAAGTGACGGTCCCCTCCCGAGGAACACGAGGCCCCTCCACCAGCATACCTTACCCACTTTCTCCTTGAAGCTCACTTTTGGCTGTGCTGTGGGGGCCACAGAGCAAGCAAGGCTCAGGGCACCGTGGAGGAGGCCTCTTCTGGCCTGTGTCCAGACCTCACTTCTATAGGTTCCACAGACATTCATGGTCCCCTGCTGAGTGGCAGCCCTATCTGGGGGCTGGACATGCAGCAGGGAAGCAAACATGAAGACCCTGCCCTTGTGGGGCTGATGTTCTGGTGAAATCAAAGAATTTCCATGATGACTTCTAAGTAGAAACCACCCTAAGAAACAAAGGGTAGAGTGGCTTCATATCTGCTGTCACTGGAACAGATAGAAAACAAAGGCTCAGAGAAGTTGAAGTGTTTCCTCAAGGGCACACAGCCAGCGAGCAGCAGAACTGTGATCCTAGGGCTTGACCATATTCACTGCTCTTTCCATTACAGCCAGAATTTTCCAGAACACTCACCGCCACCCCGTGTCCTCTGGGGAAAGGTCCATCCCATGCAGTCTCCCACCCCGGGTACAGGATTGTCCTGCCTTGTCATTCTGGTAGGACACTGGCACTGGTCATTGCTGTGTACTTTAGCTACTAGGGGACCACACAGCCCTGTCATGCCCAGAGCCACTGGGCAAGGTTCTTCCTCATGGTTTTCTTCCCACCTACCATGAAAGCCTTGGATTCCCCACCCCACTTTGTCCATCAGCCCTGAAACCCTCCCCCCTCACCTGCTGGTTTTCTACAGGAGGAAGCACCTGGCACATGCGTGTCCCAGTCCAGGCAGGCCCACTGCTGTCTAAGTATCAGCTCTTCCTTNTCTACAGGAGGAAGCACCTGGCACATGTGTGTCCCAGTCCAGGCAGGCCCACTGCTGTCTAAGTATCAGCTCTTCCTTAAAGTCACTTCACGTAGAACAGGCGCTTTGAATACGGCTCCCAAGCGTGGTCAACTCCCTTTGCCCAGTGCCTGGAGCTCTTCAGGGGCCTCTTGTTTATGTTCTGGACTTTTGTAACAACTGTAGTGAGTGCCCACACTCCTGTGGCTCCTTCGCTCACAGTGATTTGCCTTAGAGATGTAGAATGGTGACTAGTACTAGTTTAGAGTGAGATGTAAACCCTAGCCCTGGGCACACAGTGCGTGTCCTGGGAGTAAACCTTTGTTCGTTGCTCTATGCTGACCCCCAGCTCCCTGTGCCTCCTGGAGGAGGCCCCGTGGCTGAGCCATAGGCAGCACTTCTCCACTCCAATGAGCACCCAAGTCTCTTGGGGGGTCTCATGAAAACTCAGACTCTGAGTCAGTGGGTCTGGGGTGGGCCAAAGTTTCACTTTTCCAACAAGCTTCTGGGTGTTGCCACTGCTGCTGGTCTGGGGCAACTATTGAGTAGCCAAGCCTCCTAAGCATGCTCTGCTCTGCTGCGTGCCCCTAGGCTGTTGCTGCTGCTCTCTGAGCTGTCTCCCCATACAATCCTGGGAATTTTGCACTCAATCAGGATTCCCCATAGGTTGGTGTATCTGAATCGGGAGCAACTTGTATAAATCCAGCTGTTGGTTTCAGCAGGTCTGGGGGGCCCGGGCAGCTGGATTTGTAGCGAACTAAGTGGGTGATTCAGGTGTGGGATTACAGGGTGCCAGCCAGTGTGGTGGCCCAGGGCACTGGAGCATGTCCTGAGGCCTGTTCCTCCACGATGTCATTGCCAGATAGAGCGGATGCTCTGGCCGGGGAGTGGGCAGCAGCTGCCCCGTTCCATCTGCAGCCTGCCCTGCCAGCCAGGAGAGCGGAAGAAGACAGTGAAGGGCATGCCCTGCTGCTGGCACTGCGAGCCCTGCACTGGGTACCAGTACCAGGTGGACCGCTACACCTGCAAGACGTGTCCCTATGACATGAGGCCCACGGAGAACCGCACTGGCTGCCGGCCCATCCCCATTATCAAGCTGGAATGGGCCTCACCTTGGGCCGTGCTGCCCCTCTTCCTGGCTGTGGTGGGCATCGCAGCCACGCTTTTCGTGGTGGTCACCTTCGTGCGCTACAACGACACCCCCATTGTCAAGGCCTCGGGCCGCGAGCTGAGCTACGTGCTGCTGGCGGGCATCTTCCTGTGCTATGCCACCACCTTCCTCATGATTGCGGAGCCCGACCTGGGGACCTGTTCTCTGCGCCGTATCTTCCTGGGGCTCGGCATGAGCATCAGCTACGCAGCCCTGCTCACCAAGACCAACCGCATCTACCGCATCTTTGAGCAGGGCAAGCGGTCGGTCAGCGCCCCGCGGTTCATCAGCCCCGCCTCGCAGCTGGCCATCACCTTCAGCCTCATCTCGCTACAGCTGCTGGGCATCTGCGTGTGGTTTGTGGTGGACCCCTCCCACTCAGTGGTGGACTTCCAGGACCAGCGGACGCTCGATCCCCGCTTTGCCAGGGGCGTGCTCAAGTGCGACATCTCGGACCTGTCGCTTATCTGCCTGCTGGGCTACAGCATGCTACTCATGGTCACGTGCACGGTGTATGCCATCAAGACGCGCGGCGTGCCCGAGACCTTCAACGAGGCCAAGCCCATCGGCTTCACCATGTACACCACCTGCATTGTCTGGCTGGCCTTCATTCCCATTTTCTTTGGCACCTCACAATCGGCAGACAAGGTGAGTGGGGGGCTGGGTCTGAGGGTGGGGGGTGAGGGCAGGGAGTAGGGAGCAGCCTGGGGAGCTGGCTGGCCTCCCACTCTGCTTGGAAGTACCTTTTTTCATGCTTCATTCTGCCTTCCCTCCATTGTGAGTTTTTTCTCCAGGTCCTGGGATTTCTCTCCTCTCTCCTCTCTCTTTTCCTACCTCCTCTCCCCTTTCGCTCTATCTCATCTCCCCTCTGCTCTCTCTCCTTCCTCCTCCCTCCCTTCCCCCTTTCTAGCCTCCTCCCCTTTTCTCTCTTCTTCGTCTCTCTTCTCTATGAGCCTGGGAGGCTGCACCGTCCTTCATTCATCATTCTTTTCTAGACTCTCCCTGTTACCTCTCTCTCTGCTCAGCCCTGCCTTCTTGTCTGTCCACTCCTCTTGTCTTCCTCACAGGATCCCCATGGGTCCCTGAGGTGGGAGATGTATTAGGCACTCTCTCGCCTCTCCCAGCCCCAAGCTGCCCTGAAGCCCAGGAGCTGGGGCCTGGCAATGTCAGCCCAGGACCCTTTCCTCCAGCGCCCCCTGCTGGCTCTGTAGGCCACCCTGGACACACCCCAAGGGCCCCACAGTCTCTGCCCATGTCCCAGCACAGCATTGCCTGGGTTCTGGGGGATTATCTTGAAGAATTAGGTGTCAGTGAAGTAGAGGCCAGAGATATGGAAGATGGTGGGGACCCCAGCTCCTGGTCTGAGCTCTGTGTTTAACTGTGGGGTCCTGGGCAAGCTAGCTGGCCTCTGCCTCAGTTTCTTCATCCGTGGATTAGGGCCATGATCCTTCCTCTGCGTCCTTATAGGTGTTGTAACAGTCATATGATGTGGTGGGTGGAGAAGCAGTTCACCTGCTGTATGGGTCTGGGACTGAGGAGAGTGGTGGGACAGGGTGGATGGTGTAGGGCCCAGTGGCTGTGGGAATGCTGTTGGCTTTTGCTGTGAGTGAGAAGGGAGTGCTGTGGGACTGTGAGCTGTGAGGGGGGTGCTGTGACGTAGGTTTAAAAGGATCCTTCTGGCTGCTGGGTGGGGCCCTGAGGAGGCAAGTGGGGATCAAGACACCCTGTGAGGAGGTTGCTGAGTGATTCCCACAGAGGCTGCGCAGCAGGCTGGCAAGGAGGGGGGATTCTGATGTCTCTATGGTGGGGCTGACCGGTTTCTGATGTATCGCATGTGTGTGGGACACGCAGAAGAGGCAAGGATGACTTTGTGGCTTTTGGTGTGAGGATGGGAAGGAAGGGGTGTTGTCCACTAAGGAGATGACAGAGGAGCCGGTGTGGTGTGGGGTCCCTTGGGTGTGCTAAGTTTGGGATGCCCGTTAGATGTCCGAGTGCAGCTGTTGAGTCAATGGCTGAATAGATGAATCTGTAGTTCAGGGGCCAGGGCCAGGCTGGGGATGTAACCGGGAGAGCCATCAGCCCGTGGATGGCATTAGAGCTGTGAGCCTGGGTGTGAGCTCTGGGGGAGGCTTGGCTTTCAGCGAGGCTGCCACCAAAGTCCTGACAGATAGGTGCTTGTCATATGCCAGGTGTCTTACCTAATGATTAGCACATCTCACAACAGCATGTGAGGGTAGATATCCCATCTCCATTTATACATTAGGACATGGAGGTACAGAGAGGCAAAGTGACTTGTCTAAGGCCACACAGCACATAGGTGGCAGAGCTGGACATCACCCTACTCTGTCTAACTCAGGAACCCTCAGTCCAGTCCGTGATGCCCCCTGCAGCTCCCCGCCTAGGGTGGGTGCCCACTTTTTCTCCAGCAGCTCCTCAAGGAGGAGCTACACCTCTACTCCGAGTACCTTGGAGCAGCCCAGGGAAGGCCCTGAGTGCCCTGAGGTCTGAGACTAGCCTGGCTCCAGGCTGTCCGGCATACCTGAGCCAGAGCAGCCACCAGGCCTAACTTGTGCTGAGACCCAGGTCTCCAGCTCCCACCAGGCCTGCGGGAGGCCCTCCCTGCTGAGGGCAGGTGCAGGCGGAGACCCCACGCCCTGTAGCGCTGAGGGGCCCACAGAGCCAGCAGAGGTGGGCGCCCCACACTCCAGGAAGCTGGCAGCTTGAGGAATGACCCTCAGTAATACCAGGAGGCCCCTCCCAACACCTCCTGAGAGAGTAGAGGTGCCTTGCTGGAGGCTGACAGCATGGTGGGTAAGCCCCTTGCTGTGCCTTCTGTAATTTCTTCAGACTCCCTGCCTGCACCCGCTCCCATGGTGTCTCTGCCACCTCCAGGTATCAGACCCTCCCACCTCCAGATTCTGGGGCCCAGCCCTCCAGCATCTCTACAGGTGACCCCACCTGCCTCTGATTTCTCCCTTTTTAGGAGGCTTCCCTCAGTACTGACTATGAAAAGGAGCCTATGAGAGGATCTCTTCTGAGGCCCAGAGAGGAGCAGGGCCTTGACCCAGGTCACACAGCAGGCTGGCCACCAACCTGTGCCCATAAGACCCAGCTCTACCCCCAATGGCATGGGGCATGGACTGTGCCCCTCCTTCTCTGGGCTGCTGCATGAGGAGGGGTGGAGGAGATGAGCTCTGAAGTCCCTGCCTATTCAGACCACCAGGCTTCTTAGAGGCTCAGACAACCCTGGGGCCTTATATGTGCTGTCAGGTCGTAGCTACAAAATGCCCCAGTGGGAGCTGCAGGCCTGGCTGCCATGTGTGTGTGAGTGTGTGTATGTACACATTGAGTGGGATGCGCCCAGGGGTTCCTGGCTGCTGGTGTGTGGTGTATGGGTATGCAGATTGTGTGCAAATGTGTGTAAGTGGAGTGTGTGCAGGTGTATGTGTGTGTGTTCAGGTGTGTGTGCAGATGTGTGAATGCATATTTTTAAATATGCATACCCAACTCTGTACCCAGGTACATGAAGGGTACATGTGTGAGCCCAGCTGTGTCTGAGTCAGGTGTGAGTGTGTGGTTTTGAGTTCAGGTGTGTGTGTGAATGCAGAGATGCAGTATATGGGTGTGTGTGTTTGTGGGCATGCGTGTGTACAAGCCCACTTGCAGGTGCTCTGCTGCACCGGTTCCCCCAGGGTGCAGGCGCTGGTGCAGGTGGAGCTGGCTGTACCGCTCTGGTGAGCAGGCGGGGATTTCCCAGCATTAAGCCAGGATCTCCAGGGCTTTTCACCATGGCCAGCACTTTACCTGAGCCCCTGAGCCGACCAGAGCAGGGCTTCTGCACCATGTGGGGTTACTGCTCAGTCAGGCTTGGCCCGGGCTGTGGGGGCCAGGCAGGTTGTGGGGAAGTTCGTCTGGTGTGTGCAGATCTGAGGATCCCAGTATCCACAGGGCTGGTCTGGACAGGAGTGCAGGGCAGGCGAAAGTCCTCAGGATACCCCAACCAGGGCCCCTCGCATTCTGTACCCGCCAAGCCTCATACAAAAACAGGAAAGCATCACCCACAGCCAAGTAGCTCCTCTCTGTGCCCTTTGTCCCACCCCAAGGTGACCTCTCTCCTCCCCTATGATCCCCAGCCCTGATAGCCTCCTTCCCTCTGGAGAGCACTGACTTGTGAGGCTTCATGCAGGATTCCTTACAGAGGATGGAGCGGAGCACAGCAGGGGCCTGACCAAAGAGGGGGGGCGGGAATGGAGCCGTTCAGACACCTCTGGGNAGATTCCTTACAGAGGATGGAGCAGAGCACAGCAGGGGCCTGACCAAAGAGGGGGGGCGGGAATGGAGCCGTTCAGACACCTCTGGGGTGGATGGGAGAGAAGGGGGCCTCTCACTCTGCCTGGTTTTAAGACCTGCCTCTGTGCCAGGGCCCCTTTTCTGTAGGAGTGCCTGCTGGTTCTAGAGGTTCTAGAGGTTCTATGGGACCACTGCTTCTCTGGTAGGGTCAACATGCTACCACCTCCTGTTGACAGTGTGCACCTTCACACGGGGGCTCCACAGCAGTGCCCGAGCCAGTGGTGGGGTGGGAACCCCAGACCCTGGGGCAAAGAGGGGGACAGGGGATGCACAACCCCACTTCTGCTGTACACATGGTGGCCACCCCAGCCTGTGAGGGCGGGGACCTGGCAGATGGGCAGTGCTTTGCTCAGGTTTGCTCAGTTTACACCCCTCCTTGTATTTTGTTTACCAGAAGGCTCCCAGGCTGGGAAGCAGACTAGGACAAAACTCCAAGGGCTGAGCCACTCCTGTGCTCACTGCTGGCTCCAGTGTTTTCAGGACCCAGCACAAAATGAAAACGAAGGGCCCCTGTTCAGAAGTTATTGAGGATTCAAGACGGCGGCAGGCATGAAACCAAGCATGGGCGCCTCTAAGCACAGGCACCTGTGTGGCTGCCCAGGCCACATGCCCATGTTGCTGACTCTGTTCGTGTTAGTGGAGGGCTCAGCAGCCACACTGGGTCAGGACAGAGTGCGATTGGGAACCCAGACCCCCGGCCCAACACAGGTCTACGTCCACTGCAAGGCTCACCCTGCCCAGAGACGGGGCCTCTACTCCGGCCCACCAACTCCATATGGGCCCAACTGTACACCCCCATAACAAGGTGGGGGCAAAGGGCCTAAGATAGATATCTGACCTGGAAACATGGTTCTTATACTCAAGACCTCCCAGTGTGAAAGGAGAGAGCCCCTCCCCTCAGAGAACCGCCATCTAATGAGGGAGACACACCTCACCCCCAGGGCACTCCCAGTCCAGTGGGGAAGACCCAGGCCCGTTCTTGATTATCCCAGACCTCCATTGTTCCTCCAAGGGGCTATTGTGATTCTCTGGAGCCTGACCCCCTTCTTTCCTCCCCCCTGGCCACCAGCCCCCTCCCACTGGCTTGTTAGGACTTCCCCCCATCCCTGCTGGGAGACAGCTCCATGCGTGGGTGAGAGTGGGCTGCATGTGAGGACTGGGGAAGGGCCGACTGTGTGGGCAGGGGTGTGTGCTCAAGGGGGACAGTGGACATGGAACAGCCTCTTCTCACTCTCAGCCTCCTTCCCCACGTGCCACGCAGATTTCATGTGGCTTCTAAGCCTGCGCTGGGGAGTAGCCTCATGGTTTGAGTAAAGTAAGCACTTTCATCCCATTGCACTGATAAGAAAACTGAGGTCCAGAGCGGGATGAGGCTTCTCCAGGGTCACTCAGCTCTTTCCTCTCACACCCTCTCTCAAAGGTAGGAAACTCCGGGAAGGGTGGCTGGAATGAAGGCCTTCAGATTCGGTTCGTGAGGTATTTATGGAGAGGGGCAGAGATGGGGAGGATCATGAAAACACAAAGACCTGCCCCTAGGGGCTACCAGAGGAAGCCAGTGCCCCGGGGACCCCTGGAAGTGAGTTCAGACCCATGATGTCCACTGCTGGGTTAGGTGCGAGGAATGAAGGGTGTCATGGGCAGTTGGGTAGAGCTGGGGTCAGGGAAAGCTTCCTGGAAGAGGTGGCACATCAGCCAGGACCCAGGGAGGGCGCCGAGGCCCAGAAGCAGCAGATTTAGGGAACGGAGCATCCTGCTTCCCCATGCCCAGACCTGGGGACCATAGCCTGGGCCTCCCCAGGCTTCACCCTGGCTGAGGGTGACCAGAGGGACAGCTGAGGCCTGGGGGACCGGGAGGGAGGGAGGGGATCCCAGCTGGGGGCGGTGGGAATTGTCAGGCCCTGCCTGGAAGGCCCCACTATTGAAGAATGAATTATCTGACACCCAGATTAATGGAGTTTCATTTTGCTAAACATCTGTCACTGTTAGTGCTGGCGAGCAAGCGTGAAATGAGCTCGGAGCATGCTGCCACTGCCGCGTGGCGCCGGACGCCATGGCTCCCAGGCCAGGGGCCTGCTCTGCACAGGGTGGCACGTGGGGGGCAGCCACTGGATGGGGGGCCTGGTTGAGGGGCCCGCGTAGCCACTGGGAGCGACTCAAGGCACCGACAGGAGTTCATCCCACTGCCAGTCCTGTGCAGGGGCTGCTCCTGAGGAGGGTCAGCGGTGGTCCCATCGGGCCCTCGGGCTGCCTCCTCCAGGCAGCGTGCAACACCGGGAGCCACCTCTAAGAGCTTAGCTGTACCGAACATTGTGTACCTACTTTTACCATTTGTCCGTCTTGCACCCTCACAACGGCCCTGGGAGGTAAGCACAGTGCTGTAATCGCCACGCCTGTATTGCCGGTGAGGAAACTGAGGCACAGGACGGGGCCTGCCCAGGATCACAGAGCTAGCAGCGGTGGGGGCAAGGTTAGGGTCCAGGGGCCGGTCTGCAGTCCCAGCTCTGTGCCATGCTTGCTCCAGCCTGGCACAGGGCTGCCCCCTGCCCGCCGGCCGGGCGGGGCGCGCTGACCCCTCTCCGCCCCCAGCTGTACATCCAGACGACCACGCTGACGGTGTCGGTGAGCCTGAGCGCCTCGGTGTCGCTGGGGATGCTCTACCTGCCCAAGGTCTACACCATCCTCTTCCACCCGGAGCAGAACGTGCCCAAGCGCAAGCGCAGCCTCAAAGCCGTCGTCACCGCCGCCGCCATGTCCAACAAGTTCACGCAGAAGGGCGGCTTCCGGCCCAACGGCGAGGCCAAGTCCGAGCTCTGCGAGGGCCTGGATGCCCCAGGTGAGCCCCGGGCC